TGAAAAAAATCGGTCCATCCCATGCCATCCTATTGAAGAAACAGCTACAGATATACATATTCTTTTCTAGACGAGGAAAGATACCAATGTTTTTTTTTGTATAGATGATATTCTTATCTGTTTTAGTGGACGATGATAACTGTTAATAATCTGCAACATTTACATCGATTATTTGTGGATGTAATGAAACCTTCTGAGCTTGTATGACTTCAGTCTATAAGCATCGTCGTAGATTCAAATACTTGAAAAGCATGAAAAGAGTTCCAATTGGGTAAAGGTAATGACATATGTCAGTATATTTTAATCATAATTCCTTACTATTCTCGAAGCGTTACCAACATGATCGTATACATTTCAATTTCAAATTCAAGTTTCGATCTTTTGTTGAAGGCTAAGAAGTATAGTCATACACTTTTTAATCGTCGAACCGTTTCGTTTTATTTTTTCGGTAGGAACATATAAGTACAGAGCATTTAAGAAACCATTAATTTCTCGTCATTTTGCTACTTTATTCTAAAATAATAAATATTTTCTTTTCTACTTTAGAATTTGTCAATCAACTGATAGATATTTCTACAGCCGATGGACAGTAATGTTTCGTTTTTGGTTTTTTAGATACAATTAATCATGTTGATGATCTATTTTGCTATTGTTATTTTATGTCTTGCATCAAGAATTTCGACTCTGCCTGCACCAGCTTTCGTTCAGTCAGCTGTTATCTATAACGCACAAAATTTACCGATTCAGTGTTATGTAGTCCGGTCTCATCCAAACGGACGTCTATTAAAATATAGGCCATTTACTATTCGGGAAAATGAATATCGTTTACTAAAGGAAGTTATATTGAATATGGGAACATGGACAAGCGCTGCACCAATAAAGAAAATTCAATGTGGAAATTTAGTACTTACTGCTCCATTTGATCGTGTTAAATCAATAGAAAAAAATTGGGAATTTCATATTCAACCAGATAAAATTGTATCAGTTGGACCCAGTTCATATGTTGCTAAGACTTGATAATTTTTTCTAACTATTGAACGCCTAGGAACATCACATACATGTATTTACATATATGTACATGTCAAATAGAAGGAAGTTAATCTCATTTTTTATTTTTATTAGAGGAGTAACAAGCAAACACTACGAAATTTAGCGGTTTCCCACTTTGCTGACAATATTTTTTTTTTTTGAGAATAAAACAAAACCTATAAAAACGAATCAGTGTCACTGATTTTCTCTCTTTAGAAATAGTTTATCTGTATACGGTAGTTTAGATTAAAGGAATAGAATAGTGAGTGTAGTATAGATCCGCGAAGAACAGTATGAAGTCTGTATAAGTTGATCAACAACTGATTCATACTTTAATGGTTGACACTAAAATACAATTTGTTGGTTGCGATAATATTCGTAGATTATCTTCATTATGTTCAAGAACACGTTGTGAAATCGATCGTAAGATTCTATTATCTTAAGTTTTGAAACAAAAATATTATTAATTTGAATTAAATTGAAAAATATAAATTTTTTATCATTGAGAAAGACTTTTTTACAAGATGATACATGTTAGATTATGTAGTATATTCTTATAGGTTAGTATTAGGATGACATATCTTCGTGATCGTATATAACATTCATGTACAAAAATAGTAATTGAGTACATTGTGTTTTTCTTTGCAAATTACTACATTTGTTTGCATGGAATACGATGACATATAATTGTTATGTAGAGCCGCATAGACCACTGCATTTCATAGAGTATGACTCTTGACGACTGTATGCGTTTAACTTAAGTGTTTGAAAAGTTTTTTAAAATGTCGTCGATCAACAGATTGTCCCAATGAAGCAAAGCGAACTAGTATTGATATAATTTTGTTGCTGTCTCACAAATGTTTGATTTATATTTTCTTTCTTCTCTTGGATATGTACATGAATATATATGTATGTGTATTGTTCTTTCTTACTTTTCATTATCCTGTTCTTTTCATTTTGATTACTCTCATGCTATTTATTTTTATGAAGATAAAGTTTTCTTGTATCTTTTTTTTTTTTGAAGAATAAAAGAGAAAGAAAAAGGCAAGCTAACACACAGTACACTGGCTGATATTTCGTATGAGAAACGTTAGCATAACAACGAAGAAAGCATATTATTATTGTCAATTATATTCGATTGTTGTAATAAAGATTTTAAACAAACATTTATCAATGCTTTAGTTTCATCGATTGAAAACAAAAATTCCCTCACTATCTACAGATGTTTGATTTTAATATAACTACAGTAAAGTGCTATTCATTTATGTATCAGTACTTTATTTTGAAACATTAATTTTTTTTTTAATATCATCATTTTAACAATGAATACAAATAAAAATCAAGATGAAAAATAATTTATCGTTTTTATCTCGATATTATTAGAAATATCGATTAAACGTCTTCACTATATGAATCTTTAAACAAAAGAAAAACATGAGGATGATTATTATTCATGGACATACGTTCAATAAGCACGCGTATCTAAATTTCGCTTGTATCAACAAGTTATCCTATAGTTCATTACCTGATACAAGTCGTTTTTGTCTTGGTAAAGTAAATAGATGTTTCAAAAACAGTTCTATATATATATATCAACGTTTACGTGCAAGATCTATCATACGTCTCTGGTTTTCTTTTCCAATAACATGTGATGCAGCACGAAAATTATTGATCTCTTTCACGTTTATTCCTTTATCACTGAGATTATACGTCAGTTGATTCATATTTTCTTCTCTAAAGAAGGTTCCAATCTATATCGCTTTTGATTAATTTAGAAAACTTTCTGAGCAATCTTTTCAATTTTATCCACTAACGACCATCATCTTATAAATGAGCTGAAAGACTTGATTAAAAAAAATCGAAATTGTACTCCTTGATCTATGGAATCGGATGCTTGTTGACATTGTTTTTCAGTTGAACGAATAGCAAGAAGACGATTGAAATTTTCATCATCTATATCTCAGCATAGATCATTGAAAAATTGTTTAGTTGCTTTGACAGCTAAATCAGCTGCTTGTTTACTAGAATAAAACGAAAATAAACTAGACAACTACAACAATTTCCTGCACTCAATACTCTTATATTACGAATATGATTTATTCATTTGCTGAAGATTAGAATGAGGTGAGGTGTGGAGTGTGGATGTGCGTATAATGGTTGGATCATGTTAAAAAAAAACATATGAATTAGCATCAAATGATCAAGGATGAGAAAGTTTTTATCCATTTCTTTTCAACAAAGATTCATTCATATTGATTTCTTCGAAGATATTTAATGATTAAATGCTTGTTGACATAGCAACAAACACTAATACGAACAAACTATTATGTTCATTTTCTAAATGGTGATTATGTATCAATGAAATAGTAAACATTATCAGGTTTAAACATATATCTATGATTAATATCGTTGTGTTTCTTCTATTTTCAGATGAGCTTAGTACAGAAAATCTATTGAACAATCCATGGATTCCTACTTATTTTATTCTTAATGTGTAAAAACAACATATTAAAAATAAACATTATCAAAAAAAAAACATTGTAAAAATATACAACAATGTAATTAGCTGTTATCCCTTCATTGCACGAAAAAAATGTATCACTATCTGATGCATTATTTGTTGATGGATTGTTCTTCAACTTACCTATTTTTGCTTTCTAAATTTCATTTTCTGGCCGATATGATACTATAACACCATTACTATTACGCGATGACTGTCCATAAATTTTTCGATACGATGATGATGCATGATTATTGTGTTTAGTGAAGTTATTCATATCATATTTACTGGTATTCGTTGATGTTGATCGACGACGTGAAGATGAGCGTGGTGCATGTAAATATTGATGGTTATTGAACGAAGGATAAGTAACACCAGCTGATGCATATGATAAATTGTTTGTTTGTATTGGTTAACAAGAACACTGATGATACGAACTAGTTGTATTATTTGAATTATTGCGAATCTTTAAAAAAAAAGTAGTTTATATTAATTACTTTTCATTCATCAATAACTCATTCGATCACCTGCATCGTTTTGTTTGTTATTAAAGCACGATAATAGAATATTCCTCCAAAACATATAAAAAAAGAAATATTCTATAGTATAAATTGATTATCGTGGAAATAATTTAATTGTGTGTGAGTAATGCTCAATACACAGAAGAAATTAACAAAATAATGACATGTCTTTCTGTTTGTTGCAAGATAAGTTCATATACAAAAATATTCTGTCTGGCGAGGTAGAATGTGAAGAGATACGCACGTATGAACTTTATTTTTTCTTTTAATAATGCTGCTGTGCAGTTACTCGTGAATGTACATCCAATGTATCTATGTTTCTTACATATAATGGTTAGCCAAACAATGTATCAGAACGGAGAATCAATCGAAACTCAGAAAATCGAGAATTGCACTTAAGTACAAGTACCGAGACCAATGTACTTGTGAAAAGACTAGCTATATTGACTTGTCATTTATATTCTACAATACTGAACACAAGAGAAACGTATTTCGCCTTGTCTACGTAACGCTAGCGGCAGAGTGTAACACCGTTACGTTTTTGCTCATTTTGTTTTGGTCATAACTCTGAAAGGAAAAGTCACAGAGAGGTGAGTGATGTCTTAAATTGAAGACAAATTTGTTTTGAAGATTTTAAGATTAGTCC